TTGAAACCCATTATTTGGTGGCGTTACATAGGCGCCATATTTTCAATTTACACTCACAATGAAAACGAACTTACTAACTTTGTTCAACACATAAATACACAAGAAACAACTATACAATTTACAATAGAAAAAGACCTAAATAACCAACTACCTTTCTTAGACATATTTATCAAAAAAGACATAGACAAATTTGAAACTACAATATACAGAAAACCAACACACACAAACAGATATCTAAGCTTCAATTCAAATCACCCAATCATGATTAAAACTGGTGACAATGGTGTAGTTAAAAGCTTATACGACAGAGCCAAAACAATATGCATCAGTCACAATACTTTCACTAAAGAAAAACAAAACAGTAAAAATATACTAAAACAAAACAATTACCCTGAACAATTCATAAACAAATGCATTACAAATTTCGAAAATCCAAAACCTAAACAAAACACAGACTCACCAATAACCAATCTTTACTTACTATATGTACCAGGCATATCAGACAAAATAAAACGAATTATTAAAGAATACAACATAGGTACTATTTTTAAAACACAAAATACAATAAGATCACAAATTACAAAAACAAAACCAAATAATGAAATGTTCGTACTAAAAACGTACTTAATTTATAAACTTCCATGTAATCAATTTGATAAATTCTATATTGTTGAAACTTGTAGGCCATTACAAAAACGTATCAAAGAACACAAGAACTACATAAAAAACGAGGGGACTTTAACAAATCAAACATCTGCCAACAAGCTTTTGACAATAACCATCAAATTAATTGGAATGCTTCTAGCATTCTGGCAAAGGAACGTTTTTCAAAAACACGTAGAATTAAAGAGAGTGCATTAATTTTATTAAATAAAGACAAATGTGTTGCTTCATGCTCGACATCATTTAGCAATACTTGGCTTCCTTTGCTTGAATCAGAAGTAAACCAAGGTAAATTGAAGATTAATTGAAAATCTCACCTTTTACCTCAAATTTGTAATTTTTGCTTGATAACTCAAATTTGAGTTCTCAAACAAATTTACTGTAGGATGCTACGTTATTGCTTTGTAACATCGCACTATTTGGTTCTGGAACAACTTTTTTTAAAATTATAGTCAGCCTTGCAGGTTTAAATTCAATAAACCAAAACAGCTATTGAAACGTTTTTTTTTTTGTAGCGCTACGACTTTATATGTGACGAGATAAAGAAATCCGAGTGCCTAGGTTTTCCTGCAACGACATTTTAGATTTAGTTCAGATGTATCTTTTGAAAAGAATAGTATAATCGGTGCTCTAGCAATCTTATTTTTGGGCCATGAGGCAGATAATTTTGAAGAAATTTTGGTTGTGTAAGCACCTTGACGGAGATTGGGTACATAAGAAGTTGCACCTGTGGTTGAGTACTTGTGGTGATTTTAATAGAATTTGAGGCCCAATTGCTCAAGGCTGTGGAAATGCATTGGGTCTTTGCACTATGGTGGATAATTACATGACCTTATCTTACAACCGAATTCAATCCAAGTAAGCTGGTCCATCATCATAATGCTTCACTCGGAAAATCGCCTTGTAAAACCTAACAGCCCCTGAACGATATTACGCCACGTAATTATTATATCCATAAAGGAACATTTAGCTTATCAACTCAAACTATTACCAAGTTACTTAATTTTCCAGGCAGTAATTTATCTTGTCATTCTGGTTAGCCGCAAGGATAATAAACTGAACTAGAGATTTTAAATGCCCAGTGTGCATTACTGGCGGCCTTAAACTTATATTAGGTATTAACGCCCCTAAGAAACATTAGGTAAGATTTAGAGTTTATGCCTGATGTGTGGGAAATTTGGATTTTATTTAGAAGGACATCAAAAGTTGCAAAAAAGGAAATGTTCTTTGGAATACATAAACCGCACTGGCATTAAAATTCTCAAAAATCATAAAATGTTTACTACGAAAGATAATTATTTATGTTTGCCAGCATTTTATCGGGATTGCGTAGCTTCATTAAACCCTGTAATCTTGTAATAAGGCTATGTAAATAGTGATAGCGGCGGGAAAACAAAGAAAACTTAATGGGATTCTAGCTTTTGGCTTCAACAGCTTTCGTGTAAAAGCAATAAAATGTTTTTCCCCCAAATCCCTTTGGTTTTTATTAGTTCACTGGGATAAAAAAATATGTTTTCGCTGAAATTATTGTCTGTAGTAAAAGGATTGATAAGGTTTGGAAGTTCCATTATCAGTGAAACTGTGGGTTGAGGCTTTGTTTGCGAGGAGAAACTTGAGAAATTACGGAGAGCGCCTTTGGTTTATCACTGTCGAGACAGGGGAGCAACGTTCTCATAAGAACGAAGGTTCTGTCTTCCTCACCCATCATATTTATATTTTCATAACACTGTTCCCCGGTTCCAAGAATAGACATCCTGGATATAAACGTCGAGCGATGTAAATACTTCGCATTTCTTGTAAAATTGGTATTAATTGTAGTGGTAGCGTCACACATATACTTTTTTGTTGTATTTTTTTTAGACTTATTCAATACTTGATCGTGTGCAGTCAGCCAGCCCTGAGCTCGAGGGAAACAATCGTCTTAGTTTCTATGTTATCGGGTCGAAACTCGAGCTTGAGGACCATGGGTCTGCTGACTTTGCATCAGGATATCCACGTTAATAAAAGTCACTCACAGGCACCTTCTATTCTAGGACACATAAGACCATCAAGTTCAAAGCACGCCAAAATTCTTCGGCGAATGGCAAGTTGCGAGGGAAGCAGGATTAACTTCAATATGTGGATGATAACGTCTTGATGGCCAATACAGGGAAAGATCTTCAGTCAATTATTCATACATACAGGAGAATCGGCCAAGGGGTCAACTTTAACAAGACGAAGATTCTGCACCAACCCGCACCAAATACTATACTCCAAATATAACTACAAATTATCATCCTTTGCAGAACGTAGAGCACTTCCCATATTTAGGAGCCATCTGTTAGAGGAGGCAACCATTCACGCTGAAATCCAACATCGCTTGGAATGTGCTAGCGCGACGTTCGGGCGACTTCTAGAGAGAGCCTGTAACAATCCATCAGCACTGAGACCAAACTTCGCGTCCACAATGCAGTTGTAATACCAACACTCACATATGGATGGGAAGCATGGACCACCTACAGACACATAGAAATAACATCAGCGCTGCCTAAAGGATACTGGATTAAATGGCAAGACCGACGAACCAACATTAGTGTTTTATAGGAGGCCAAAACAACTAGCATAAAAGCCCTCATCATTAAGCACCAACTTCGCTGGATAGGTATCCTCATCCGAATGCCCGAAACACGTCTTCCACGACAGATTCTCAAAGAGGGAAATCGAAATCAGGGAAGTCAACAAAAACGCTTCAAGGATGTTCTTAGGAAGAATATGATAGAGTGCCGCATCGATACCAGCAGCTGGGAGATGACGGCAAATGATAGGCCCTCATGGCGTCCAGTAGTCCACGACACACCACAAATTTGTGAAAAACAGCGACGCAGACATGGGACTGAAAAGAGGGAACGCAGGAAGAAGCGAGAGAACAGAGGAAGATACAATTCTGCAAGAGGCTAGGTGTGCTCGGTATCGAGTGATCGCCCATGATAATGATGATTGTTATTCTATATCCAGAAGTGTTATATTCCTAACATCTATCAAGAGAAACTTTCGAGTTAATTGATACCTAATCAAATAAAACGGAACAAAAATCACTAGTGCAACTTTACCAATTCAGTTATCCCTAATTTTAGTCTCTATATCGTCTTTCCGGGAAGCTATACCGCCAATTACTGCCGTTTTTCCTAGCCGAATGTCCGGAAAATCAACTCAAATAGACGAGCATCCGGTTTTATACGCCAACCGTTCAATTACTTTTCATATGCATTCTAAACTTTCCCAGTCAATGGAGCAAATTTCTATTAAATGGTAAAGTGATAAATGAGAATTTATTTATCTCGAGGTTATAATAAGCAAGACTCTCTATTGAATGGCTATAAGCAATTACTTGGGAAATACCATATGTTATAATTAGTTTTATATATTGCTGGAATAATTTGCGAAGTAAAAATCAAAACTAGCTAATAAATCTTGCATATTAAATTTGTGGCTTTGGTTCAACACAGACAATATATTCTATTTTAAGAGTTCCCCTAAAGAAACCTAATACACCAGTTTTCTATAGGGCTTCTTGAGATCCACAAAATATAGCATATTATATCCAATTTTTTTTATCGAGGAAAAATATGCTACTTGATATTTTATTTTCTATATTTTACGAAAGCTCATAGTGCTCATAGTGGATTTATCGTATGTGGTATAGAAATTGAAAAATACCGATTATTAAAAATTGAAGAGTAAATAGACAACTTCTTTTCAATTTGAGAAAACAGTTAGTGGTCAATAAATTTAAGGAAACTGAGGCCGCAAATCCAAAAACTTCAACTTGCCAACTTATGAGGTTTGGAAATTTAATCGCATTCGATCACAGTACTAATTCAGTGAATTTCCATTGAAAACTCTGTATTGGATCACTAAAAATCACATCGAACAGCAGCGTGGAACATCATTTCAGTCTTCCATGCAAATTTCCCATGGCAATCACTAACATCGAACGGTAAAAATAGCAGCACCACCCACAAAGCGGAAGAAGTCGCCGCCAAATTAACTGACAAGAATTTGGAGTTTGTCCATTCATCCACAGCAACAAGCAAGGGCAGGTTCGACGCGATATTCGCCCCCTATCAAACCTTAGACTCTATCAAGTGAACCATGAGTGGTTACAAGGAATTTCATCATATTATCATACCTTTACAGCACTTTGAATGGAAGTTCGGGATAAATTTGGGAAAAGTTAGGTTAAAATTTAATTCACTTTTCACTTTACTTTGTTCAGACTCCCAATACAAATACCGCCTAAAAAATCGCGGTGTAAAAGCAATAACCCAACAACAAAACAAACACACAAAACTACTTACCGGTTTTGACAAGTTTGAAAGTGACGGCATTGTGGGATTTGAGGTGTTCGTTGTACGACGGATGGATCAAATCCTTTAGAGCAGACTCGCTATTCGACGCCATGGCCGCTGAAGTTTCAATTTTATACTCGCTCTTTCCTTCGGAGCGCGTTTTTTGATTTTCCGGCGTCGTTTTTCCTTTCTGGAACAGAGAAAACTGTTCAGGATCGTGCCTTTATTATTATTTTTTTTGTGGTGTGTGCGGTAAGTGTTTTTTTTTTAATTGTAAAATAGAAGCAGCTAAACTATAAACATGCTCTTTTCTTTTAAACTAGATTTTAATAAACAAAAGTTAAACAACCATATTGTTTTTGTACACAAATATTTTTATTGCAGTATATTTTCAAATATAAAACTAGGGAACTTGTCAATACATGTTTTATGCGTATAAAAATAATTATTACTATCAGCTATTTACAATCAGGGACGAATTGTTATAAATGTTTATTTTTTCGTTTAAATTGTTGGCACAAAGTTTCATAAATCAAATGGCTCATCTGTAATGCATGTAAGTTTACAGCAGCTCGTGGACATTTCAAATACTGGTAGCGCAGTTGAAAATTTGAATTAATCGCACCCATTGTGCTCTGACATTGCTTGTATATAATTTAAAAATATTTTTTGTTTTATACGTTTTTTTTTTTGTTTAAAATTCAAGTCAAAAATTGCAATTTTAATGTAAAATGTGGAAAAACATTTCAAATATTATGATAAGCAGATCGTATCGTATCATGTTTGCAGCTCGTAATGATTCACGGAACATTACAAATAATATTTTTGAGCCTATTCGTGTTCTGTGTATGGTTTCCAAAACTTCCAGTAGACTCGCTTCGGTATACAAAATTTTCATAAATCATGAATCCTCGCTAAGACTCAGTTGCGAAAAGTACTTTGTCCTTCTTCTTTTGTCCAATACTGGATACTTAATTCACCGTGAAAACTCATTTCTTTTCCGGAAGCCTCAAAAAGTAGGTACTTTGGAGAAAAGAAAGGGGCAAGGTTTGTTCTCAAAATGTCCGAAAACGTCCTAATACGTTTATTTGTGGGTTGAAACTTCTTCCTGGCTTCAACTTGAAACGAAAATTTATTGGCGCCAAGAAAATGAAGTGAAATAGAACTAAACAAAAGTAAATGTATTGTGACGATTAGGCTTATGATCGGTGGATTACCTACGTTGAGAAATGTAAATAAACATACATTGAGGCGATTTGCCGATAGTGTGTCTCGTGCAGACGTTGAGGATCTAAATAGATTTTGTTCACTGGATCGAAGTTAAGTATTTCATTTTTTTGAAGTGTATTGACCACATCAGCGGTAGATTAGAGAGAAAAAAAATTGAGGAAAGGATTTGAAAAAGCCTGGGTTGGGCATAAAGTTGAATGGTTAAGATTTCATTGCCATTTCACATTGTCCTAGCTATTAACGGATATCAGGATACGACAATACTGACGTTGCATTTTAAGCCAAAATTGCAATTAGCGCGTCAACTCGGAATATGAAATAATGATATTTTGCTGTTAATTTGAATCAACAATCAATTTTTAAACTGCGTAGAGGTAGTCTCACGATTTCCGGCTCAAGAAAGATGGGCTCCCGGTAAGTACAGCAATAATTTATTTATGTAAAGCGTTCAGTGCTCTCAACTCGTTTTATTTTGCATTTATTTGTTCGAACTAACCCAATTTAATTACATTATTCCCAAGTACATAATAAACTTCAATTAAGTTAAAACTAAAAGCGAGTCCCAAGTTGCACCAAATACGGTGTAACATCGAGAAGTTCCATCGTCTAATCCCTACTGCTGAAGAGAAACTCCCAGACACAGACCGAGGTACAGCTGACATGATTTTCAGTGCAAGACAAGAGAAATTCAGAGAACAAAATCGCCCTCTATACATGGCCTTCATAGATTTAGTGAAAGCATTTGATGGATATGATACATACTTCACCTTGTCGAGGGTCGCCTGCCGTCAGAAGTGGAAATCCGGTACAAACTTGATGGCGGCTTATTCAACCTAAACTGATTAAGAGCCAAGATGAAAGTATTGACGACATCAATAATTGAAGTTTAATATGCGCATGATAACGACGTGATGGCCAATACAGAGGAAGATCTTACGGCAATCATCAATGCGTTCAATAAGGCATACAGGAGAATCAGCCTAGAAGTCATCTTTAACAAGACGCAGATTGTGCACCAATCCGCACCGGGCATTATTCTCTAAGCCCCAAATATAACCAATAAATGAACATTCTTGGTAAAACGTGGAACACTACCCATATCTTGGGAGTCAGCTGTCAGCGAATGCAACCATTGACGCTGCAATCCAACATCGCTTGGTATGCTAGCGCGGCGTTCAGGCGATTTCTAAAGTGAGTCTTCAACAGCGCTGAGACCAAACTTAGCGTCTACAATGCAGTTGTAATACCAACACTTACATACGGCTACGAAACATGGACCACCTACAGAAGACTCATAAAAAGCCTAGAAAAATTTCACCAGCGATGTCTGAGGAGGATCCTACGGATTAAATGGCAAAACCGACGAACAAAAGATTAGTGTTTTTGACGAAGCCAACACAACTAGCATGGAAGCCCTCATCATCAAGCACCTCGTCCGCATGCGCATGCCCGAAAAACGTATTTCACGACAGATTCTCTACAGTCAACTGAAAGAGGGAGAACGGAAGCAAGGAGGTCGACAGAAACGCTACAAAGATGTTCTTAAGGAGAATATGGCAAAATACCGCATCGATACCAGCAACTGGGAGACGACGGCAAATGATCGATAGGTCCTAATGGCGTCGAGTAAGTCAACGACGGACCACCAAACTTCTGGAAAACAGCGACGCAGGCACGAGACCGAAAAGAGGAATCGCATTCCTTCCTGCGAGAGAACAGAGGAAGAAACAATACTGTCAGAAGCTGGATGTGCCAAGACTGTAGCAGAGTATGCGACTCCAGAATAGGTTCATATATAGCCATCAGAAAACGCACAATCGACGACAATAAGTGTAGAATAGGAGATAATCATACTCGGTATCGAGTGATCGCCTATGATGATGATGATGATGACCTCGAAAAGTTTTAATATAATTTATTATTAAATTACCAGGAGTCTATTTTTCTGTAACAGTGCTTCACCCTCGAATCGCTAATTACAACTGGAATTCAAAAAAATAAATAAAATATTGACTTAATTCGATGCAGTAGAAACAACCAGAAAATAAAATCAGTGCTTCAAGCAACGACAGTATTTTCGAATCTTGTCAATTGCTAATAGCCTAATCAGGAAACCAGCACAAGGACAATGTTAAAATAGTTTTGACAATGCGATGTTGAACAGAAAACTAGTATCCTAAGATGTGAATGCGAAAATGTGAACAGGCTTACAAATGTTAAGACTAAAATAAGTAAAAATCACTAAATTGAATTAAGTTGAATTTATTAAACACATACTGTTAATTTGTTCTCACGTCGGGGGTCTTCGGTATATAGTGATCTCTGGATCAGCCTGTACTTCTCCCTATTTCCCTATTCAGACAAGTGCACTGACCCAGGGACTTTAATGTATGAGGAAAGAACTAGGAATTCAACCATTTGTCTCGCGAGGTCAGATGCTTGATATCCCTGGAATCATTCAGAGTGCCTCTTAAAAATCTTCTGATGGATAAGGTTTTTCATAGCCTGGATAAATTTTATGCTGATAAATTAGTGTACGTAGCTATATTGAAAAATTTTGCACGCCGCTCGGTTTCTGCCAATGTACAGGGACTTTTCCCATATATTGACCCCCCTACTACAGGGGTTATTTGAAGAGATATATCAGAAAATTGTAAATACTAAAGTTTTAGGGTTTAACCTGAAATTTTCGAATCCGATGTCAAAAACTTTTTTGTTTTGTTAGAAATGTCAAATTTTGACAGATGATCAGTTTTTCTTTTTTTAATGGATTAGTAAAAAGTACTGCAAGACTTAAATATCTTCAAAATTGCTTAAGCCGCGTTCACACAATTCGGAATCTGATAGTTCTTGGACATGCGGAATTCAACAGTGCTATTGGCAATGTTGCCAGATTTCCCAGTTTTGTGCTACACGTAGTCTTTTTGTTATCTTAAATAAATGGGCCATTCTTATTTTTATTGCAGTGAATTGGGCGTGCCAAATTTGATAATAATCCAAATTTTCAGAATTCTATCGCTACTAGTTGCTGAAATATGACAACACCGTATTTTCGGTGAAAAGTATAACAACGCTTGAATATCTTCAAACGCCTCTTAAGCACGTTCACAAAATTTGGTATCTGGGGGTTTTCGGGCAAGCAAAATTCTACCGTGATATCGGCATTGTTGCCAGACTTCCCAGTTTTGCGCTAAACGCCAGTCATTTTGTTATCTTGAATAGAATGCCCCATCTATTTTTATTGCAATAAATTGGACGTGCCCAATTTAATAAGATTCCAAATTTTCAGAATTCTATTTCTACTAGTTGCTGAAATATGCCAACACCGCATTTTCAGTGAACGGTATCGCACCGCTTGAATATCTTTAAAACCCGCTTAAGCTCGTCCACTAAGCGAAATTCAGCTGTGATATCGGCATTGTTGCCAAGTTTCCCAGTTTCGCGCTACATGTAGTCTTTTTGTTATCCTAAATAAAATGCCCCATTTATTTTTATTGCAATGAATTGGTCCAAATTTTAATGGGATTCCAAATTTTCAATATGCTTCTTGCACTGTTAGATACTACTATAGTGAGAATCATTCTGGGATAGTTACCTACCTTCCTACCTATTTCAAGAGGAGCCGTAAACTTATCGGAAACGCCCGGAAATATGAATACCTTATGAACAAGTAACGTGTATGAAAAAAAAAAAAAGAAACTATAAGCCACGAGCAAGACTACCTGTAGCGCGAAACTGGGAAACTTGGTAGCAACGCCGATATTACAGTTGAAATTCGCGTGCCCATAAATCCCCAGATACCGAATTTAGTGGACGAGTTTAAGCGGGTTTTAAAGATATTCAAGTGTGCGATACCATTCACGGAAAATGCGGTGTTGGCATATTACAGCAACTAGTAGAGATAGAATTCTGAAAATTTGGAATCTTATCAAATTTGACAAGTCCAATTTATTGCAATAA